TCAAAGGATTACTACAATCTATCATAGTATACAACTTTCAAAGGGAAGACATTGGGTGGGAAAATGGTTAAGTTAACCAGATAATTTCATCATAGCACCATCAAGATAACTGACATTTTGTCGTTAAATTTAAGAATGCTGCAACTCTCTAAGGAGAAAATAGGGAAGTTTTCCCTTGAAAACTGTATGTGTATGTGTGTATGTTTATGTGTATATATATACACACACATGCATACACATACAAGTGAAGCAAGCCCTGCTATATGCATATTACACACACATATTGTGACACACACACACAGATACATGTTTGTTAGTTCTTTTCATGAAACGCTGGCTCTAGCAATGCCAACATTTTGATTAAATTTATTTATACCAGGTAAAATGCTTTCTTCTCTTGCATCAGAACTTAAGTAGGTGACTACAAAGTATTAATAGCTGTGCAATGGACATGTGCAGGAATATTCAATGGGGACTATATTCGTCTGGGCATTCTTGGGACAGCACTGACAGTTGTTCCTTTGCCTGAGGCTTGGCTTCCAACAGATGGAACAATTAAATTTCCAGGAAGACAGTGACAGGTGTCAATTTCAGGGAAGAGATTATATGTATACAGACCATCATCACCTCCAGTATTCTGGAAGGGCAATTTCAAACTGTTCTGTTTAACTAAAGATGAGAGAGGCAATGACCTGAGTTCATTACTTGCTATTTCCTGCCTCCAAAGTACGTGTACCTGGTAAATGAACATCTCTACCTCAAAAACAAAGGCTATCCAGGCTCAAAATTTCAGCTGGGGTAAGTGGGAGGATGAAGATGAAAAAATAAGACAAAAAAAGCTACATAATTCTAAGAAGGACATACAATGGATGCTTGCTCATGCAGCCATTTTGGATGTGGCAACATCACTTGTCTGAACTGAACACAGCAGCTAAGAGCCAGGAAGTAACCCCCCATCAGAATGTTAAGAGTGAGGGGAGAGAGTAAGAAGAGCTAAACTTGGCTAGAAGTGTATATTTTGGGTTAGGTGCTATGATAGCCTTTTCACATACATAAGCTCATTCATTCTGGACAAGAACCCTACGAAAGGCTAATATTCTTTACATTCTATAAATATGGAGAATTAACATTCAGAGAGCTTAAGTAAAGATACATAAGGTCATTCAGCTATTCTGTGGAGACACCAGCATTTGGACCCAAGTTTCTCCAAACCCAAAGCTCAAGCTCTTCTCTCCCCTCCATCAGATGGCTTTCCTATAATCAGTTCCACCTGCACCAGAACTCCTGTCCTTGCCTCATACAAACCCCTGTAGGCCCACACCCAACAACAAGCAATTCAAATTAGTTTGATTATCTGGCATTCTGTCTTCCTCAGATGAGAAACGTGTAAAAGATAAAAAAGGAGAATAGGGGATAAGGGTATGGCCAGGCACACTGAGACCAGCAAGAGATGACAGCGGGGTCCCATTCTAGTTTATATAGCTTAACATCCCCTGCAGAACTCACTATATTATGCATAAGATTGACGTTCATAAAGATTTTATTCAGTGGACTCATTATAAGAAGGCAGGGAAGTAGTAAAAGTTTGATTAAGAATAGTTAAGTTAAAATAAATATTGGTACTTGAATGGGGTTAACTTCTAGCAGAAAAACCCAACTCAGGCAAGCAGCCCATTCCTCCATGAGGCTGAGTAAAGGAAACACTGGTATCGCGTTAGGTTTTCTTATCTTTACTAGTTGGCCTTTCTAATCACTAGGAGAAAGCTGATTATTTTTAGAACTAAATTTCTATTCTGCTATTTAAAAATGGATAAAGTATAGGGATGCCTGGGTGGCTCAGTGGTTGAGCGTCTGCCTTCAGCCCAGGGCGTGTTCCTGGAGTCCCAGGATTGAGTCCCGCATCAGGCTCCCTGCATGGAGTCTGCTTCTCTCTCTGCCTATGTCTCTGCCTCTCTCTCTGTCTCTCATGAATAAATAAATACAATTTTTTAAAATGGATAAAATATAGAGCTCTCCCTAAGTCAAGATTTGTTTAAAATATCTTTTTTGTCACATGGAAACACACTACATTAAAATGAGGAGGTGGAGGTGGTAAAACATGGATGGGTATGGGTGTGTGTGTGTGTGTGTGTGTGCCGGGGGGTGGCTTTACATACCTTACCTCTGCAAATTTTACTATTGTATGGCCTTGATCAAATTAGCCTCTTTTCCACATAGTTTCTCCAACTGTAATGGTGACACCATTTTCCTTTAGGGAACAAATCTATTTTATCACCTCTTTTCTGCTTTCTTTATAAGTCAAGATTAAGGTCAAGGAAGAGAACTGATGGGCTTCCAAAAGACAGGTTTAAGGAATATATTTAGGTTTAGGTTTAAGGGATATATTTTCTATGCTGGAGTAGACTACATAAACGTAGCATCTTTTTCTGTTCCTTCCACAGGACTGTGAGTCAGACCTCAGGGCAAATGGATTATTTATTCTTTCTCTCCTCTCCTCTCCTTGGATGCTCTTCTTCCTTGTAGTAGGAGCCCAGCCCCAGACGATTGTTCTGGTCTACAAGGCACAGTGGCTTCAGCCAACTGGGTACCAGGCAATGGGAAACAGCCTTTGGCTGGCCATCTCTGGCTCCTTTCCTCATCTTTGGTGGTCAGTGACAGTGTCCTTAGTATCATTTCCTCACATGGCCCTAGTGAGGCCATGACACTCAGCTTTGGGTTAGGATATACCGGCAGCCAGCTGAGGCTAAGGAGTTCCCACAGGGTTCAGACTCATTTATTGACATTTTTCAAAGGCCTCTGAACCAGAATACCAGTTAATAATTGGATGCTAGTTTGCCTTCCTTTGATCAGGAACTTCTTTTGGGAACATTCTAGGAGACAGGCATGGCTGAGGGCAGGATACAACTCACCACCATCATAATACCATCCTAAGAAGAGTCAGGCAGTGTCCACATTCCACACTGTTGGGAGAATTAAATGATACAATGCATAGAAGAATACACCTAACAAATGCCTGGTTACTGAGTGAGTCTCAGATGTGCTTAATAAATGCTCACTTTCAGGGTGCCTGGGTGGCTCAGTTGGTTAAGTGTCTGACTCTTGATTTCAGCTCAGGTCATGATCTCAGGGTTGTGAGATCAAGCCCTGTGTCAGGCTCCATGCTCAGCAGGGAGTCTGCTTGAGATTCTTTCCCTCTGTCCCTCCCTGCTTCCCCCCAACTCAAAAAAAAAAAATGCTCATCTTCCTCTCCCCTACATCTTTTTCCTTAATTATTACAAAGTTAATGTGAGAAAAAAACCAACAACAATGCAAAGGTGAATGTGGCTTTTCATTTTCCAGCCACCTCTACAGTACCCTGATTCAAATCTTCCAAGAACCAAGCATAGTTAACCCAGCATATCAGGGCACAACTTTCCTTTCAGAAAAGAGATGATTTTGGAAGTGAACAGTGTGGTGCTAAATGTATTCCGTGCATGGGATGCCTGGGTCCTCTATTCCAAAAGTCCCTTTCTCTATTCATTATAAACACCTTTGCTTTATTACTCTTTGCTAGAGACCATAAGAATAAAATACATCATAAAAACACTTTGTCAGGTTTACCCCTCATTTTTTTTCTCAAATCTTTTTAAGTATGAAGCTTTTGAATTCTCAATGTTTTCAATGGTCATGTGATTTTTCATGTTTTTCCCCCCACCATTATGGGTTTCTCTTTATTGTAAATTAGTGATGACTATTGGACATCTACTATGTTCAAAGTTCTATGCTAGGAGCTTAACATTTAAAAACTCTATGAAGTAGGCAATACTTCACTTAATTTATGATAAGAAAACTGAGGTGAGGAGGGATATAGGAGCCTGTATAAAGTGACAGAGCTTAGGAACCCAAAATCTGGATACCGCTTTGGAAAATACTTGCACATCTGAAAGGATATCGAGACAATACCTCACCTTTCCTCTCCAAATGCATAACAAGAACAAATTGCTAGAAAGGGCAATAAAGGGAGTCTTTTGGGTCTCAAGAGTCTTTGGGATTCTCCTTTGTGTTCTCATAATGCCAATTCTTTTTTTTTTTTTTTAATTTAATTTCAATTTGCCAACACCCAGTACTCAACAATGCCAAATCTGACATGAAAGGAGCTACCCATAACAGAGGGGAGGTAGATCAATCTGCTTTGTCCATGGTAAAACTAATCAGTTCAGTGGCTAGAATATGTAGTACTGCTGAGGACTTCAAAGACAGTTCTCTATCACTGACAGTCTAGTACAGTACAATCCTGGAGTCAAAAGACTTTGATTCTATTCTAGTTTGGCAATTTAGTAGCTGTGGATTTTGGGGCAACTGTTGTATGCTCTTACGTTCTTCATCCCTAAAACAGGGAAAATAAGGCACAAATACTTCAAAAGGTGTTCTGAGAATCCAGTGAGATAGCATTTGTTCATACTATGCCTTGTTTATTTTGTTTAGTTACTTATTGTCTGTCCTTCCTCACTATTAGATAAATTTCATGACATCAGAGAACTAGTCTATATATTCTACTATTGCATCTCCAAAGCATGGAACATTGCCTGACACACACAGCAAATATATTTGCAGAATGAACAAAGTATGCACACTGTTAAAAATTAAAAATGCTGATTACTATTAGTATTATTGTTAAGTGTTAAGACATACAAAGTCGGTTTTTTCATTAGATGTTAACTTTTCATAAGTGTTAATGTATTTAGCCAGAAGTGAATTCAGGCAGCCAACATTGAAGTTCAAAGTATGATCTTGTTCCAACTTTTTGCTGTTTCCCTTGAAATAATTACTAGCCCCCCCCCACACAATATCTGATATTAGCATTTAAATCACATGAAATGAAAATGGTGAGGCTTCATTTCTTGTTACTAATTTTTGTAACCTCCAAGAGGGTTTCTTGGTTTTGCTGATTATTCTGCAACTTCCAGGTTCCCTCCAGATGTGAAGGAAATTGCTTACTTGGTTGAGATGCTTGTACTTACTTGATGAAGTACTTGATTCCATCTGCTGTGTAAGCTTCCTCCCACCCGTAAGGTAGGTCTAGAGTGAAGGGAAACCAAAAATACATTTAATAAGATGATAAAGATAACTTTATTTCCTGGATGCAAACTTCCCCCATCTTTACAATTATTTGAGTACATTTCTTGTACAAAATAATTTTCTCGAGAGGAGGAATTAAAACAATTCAGATGAGCTTTCAGACTCAGCATCTTTAGAACACAATAAATAAGTCTCAAACAGTTAACAATCTGCTTTAGTTGCATTAACTGGATTATGACTTGTCATTTACATGGTGTGAGCATTTTTGTCAGCAGGATTCAAGCAAAAATTTTTGGTGCAGGGGATGGTTTTTGCCTGAAGGCAGAGGATGGACAAGATGGCCCCGGCTTGTCTATTCTGGCTCAAAGTTTCCTTAATTGGCTCCTTTTACATTCTTCCGTTCAGCTCTACAGGGAATTGGTGCACGAGTGCCAGATCAGCAGGGGTTTGAAAGTAGCTTCTGGACAAGACCAAATTCCTTGTGAAGTCTGAAAGTTTAGCAAAGTGATTTACAATGGATGGTGGTATTTTATTTTGTTAATTAAAAATTTTGTGTACTAAACAGAAACGGCCAAACAATTTGCTTAACTTAGCTTTCATTTCTGTAATGGGATTGAGAGTAGTTAGTGAGCTATAAAGAAATGCAGATTGAAGTAAGCAAGAAATTATTTGGCCATATTTCTGTAAATGAATACATTTGTGTCCTCATCATATCAAGAGAATAGGCCCATGTTGAGGTAGCCACATTCTCTTATATTCCAGCTATGGATGATACTCTTCTAGAGTACAATGGTTTCTATCTCTCTGCTATATCCTGGCATTCTGCGAAGGATTTTAATTGACCTTTTGGATCAGTCCTTTAATCTTGGATAGTCATGGCTCCATTGATGGTATAATATACATTAATGTACTGAAGAACAGACTCCATGGCTCAGGTAGTCTGCTTTGAAAAGTAACTGAGCTACCACAATAGACCACTGATTTCCATTCCCCTAAGTCTCAGCATGAGGCAGAGCAAAAATGCACAAATCCGTAACTATTTGAATGAAATAAAACCTTACTCCGTCATCATTCACTTCTTCAAGATTATTCTTTGAGAACAGTCTTGAATATGTTGTTTTTATAATTAAGAAAAGAAAAGCTTTATTTTATATCTATTTCCAATCCATTACCATAAATTGTATAAAAGAGGACCTTGTCTAAAAATTCTGTAACCATTTCCTTTGTAGATTAACACAGGCCACCTAGCAATTTCTTTGCTCTCTTAGTGAATAAATGTTCTTATTTTAAGTAGGAAATGAGGAGCGTCTGGGTGGTTCAGTCAGTTCAGCATCTGCCTTTGGCCCAAGTCATTATCTCTGGGTCCTGGGATAGAGCTCAACATCAGGCTTCCTGCCTAGCAGAGAGTCCGCTTCCCTCTCTCTCTCTCTGCCCCTCCCCATTGCTTGTTCTCTCTCTCTCATAAATAAATCTTAAAAAAAAAAAAGAAAGTAGAAAATGAGCATTTCTGGGAAGTCAGCATAAGCAAATGATTGGCTTCTTTCAAGCCCCTGAAGTGACACTGTATCCATATCTTCTAGTAGTACATGCCCAGCTAGATGGGCCATGATAAACTGCTGCTACAATGGTTCAAGTAGATTTATTTCCTTTTTTCACACTTTCTGTGTGTTTTTTTTTTTTTTTTTTAATTAACAGATCATCTTATTGATCACTGACAACCACCTTGCCTGCAGGGAAGAGTGTCATGACTATACAGGAGAATCTTGCTTTCATGATAAAAATGCTCAGAAATACCAGAGTATCTGGTCAATAAGGCAAAGACAGCTAAAAATTACAAAGGAAGTCATTCTAATGTGACTAAGGTTTCTGTCCAAATGATTTGTTTGTCCAACCATTATGTATATACTTCTAGATTTTAAGTGACGGGTTTTTTTCATGAAAAGGAGAAAAAATGTACACTTTAGTATCTTTTAATTCACAGCATCATTTAAAAATTGAGACTGACATTGGATAACTGCACATTCTCTGTGCCATCAGAATAGAATTCCTGCCCTGATTATTTTCTTACAATTATTAAACAGGGACTATAACTTCAAAACAGACTTATTAAAGGTACTAATCCATATCCATCTTAGTTAATATGGTTACTGAATGACAGTAGCCATAAAGATGATTCTTTTGTGTTAAATAATATGCACAGCTTACGTTAGGATAAATACTCTGTTCTGAAAAAAAAATAAGCATTTCTTTTTAGAAGACTGAATGGTTTCTTCTTTTTTGTGTAGCTACTATAATCTGAAAAACAGAACTGGAGACTAAACTGATATTAATAATCTTTCTGTGATAGTTCAGTACTAGAAAACATAATCACTGTCCAATTATTAACTGAGAAACACAACACTGATAAACCAAGTAGTTTACTTTATAAAAAAAGAGAACGTTTGATTTCCACAAGCTTGTATGCTTACAACAGACTCAGTTTTCCATTAGTAAACGATTTTATAGAAATAAAATAAGTGATTTCAGCAAAATTGTAACATGACCTAAATACTTTTCAATAATCATTATTATTCCAAGGCATTAAGTTTTTTCTCCATTCCTCTGTCTTAAAACTATTATGACAACCATAATCACTTGAAATTGTTTCTGATTGGAAGTGTTTGTCTATAGACTCTCACATAACATTCTTTCCATCAGAGATCATCTGTTTCCAATCAACCACTTCATGGGGATGACTCCAAAATCTTCATGAATATCTTGCCAAAGTAAGAGTATTATACATATTTAGCTGTCACCTAAAACTCAACATATCCCAAACTAAACTCGTCATGTTTTCATACAAACCAGCTTCCTTCCAATTTTCCAGTCTATTTAGGTAACGAGATTCTCTTTGTCATATTTGGCCCATTCATCAAATTTGTATTGATCATTTACTATGTGTTCAGTATTTTATTTTGTGTTCAACATGCAACGATGAACAAATAATCATGACCTTGGTCTTATGGAGCCTTAAAACATAATAATAAAGACATCATTAAAAATATAAATAAATACAATGATAGAAGAGTGTTGAATACTGTGAAAGATTAACAACAGAGACAAAGCCTAAATCCCCAAACACAAAGAGCTACAAATCAGTAAGAAAAGGCCAATGACAAATAGGAGTCTATGGAACATGTTGAACATTCAGGACATTGGAAAGACAAGTGCACTTAAACACATAAAAATATGCTTAACTTCACTCTTAATGAGACAAATACAAATCAAACTATTATGAGATGCTATGTATATGTTAGCAAAGATTAAAAAGTTGTTGAATAAGACACTGTGTTGAGAGTGTGAAGAGGCAGTCATTCCCATACTGATGGGAGTATAAATTGATGACATATTTATGGAAAGTTGTCAATATCTATGTAAAGTCCTAAATGCTAATAATAACCACTGACATTTCTGACATTTATTGAATGGCTATATGCTGGACACTGTTCTAAGTACTACACATGTACCAATACTGTCAGGCCTCATGGCAATTCTAAGACATACTGCTATCATCTCCATTTTATAAACAAGGGAACTGAGGCACAGAAAGGTGAAATCATTTGCTCAAGTTACATAGCTAGCCAGTGGCAGAGTCCAGACTCTTAGGCACTACCCTCTCTATCTCCCTGTACCATTTAATCCAGCAATTCTTCTAGGAATTTAGCCCACAGATATGCTTTCTGTACCAGATTATTAATTGTTTTTTTTTTTTTAAAGGATTGGCAATAATCTAAATAACCACCAATGGGAACTGAATGAAGACAGCATATCCCGATAAAGGGATATTGTCCAGCTGTGAAAAAGAACGATGAAGTAATATATGTACTAGTTTGAATGGGAGTGTGGGATAAAGGATCTCTGGAGGAACTGGAGTTAAGAAGGTATGGACATGGGGAAGAACACTCTAGGCTAAGCAAACAGCATGTGCAAAGGCTCCAGGGATGGGAAAAACTTGGCACATTTGAGGAACTGAGAGATCATTGTTGCTGGAGCATAGTGAATGAAGGAGGGGAGAGAATGATACAAGATTTGGCTGGACAGATAAGCAAATATGACTATATGGGGTTTTGCAGGGCATGTTAAAATTGTTTGAGAGTTTCTTAAAAAAGAAGCAGGAGATCTGCTTCTCATTAAGATGAGGAAAACTGCAAAGAATTTTGCTCTCACCGTATGTGGAGAAAGCTGTACAACCTGAAAAATATAATGATTTTTTTGAGTCCCTCAGAGACTGAGTTCCTTACCTGAGTTGACCCTGAGGTGAACTGAATTCCAAAGGGTGAAGAGCCCCTCCAAGAAAAGATGGGGCACATGAACTCTTTTCTCTTGGCAGAGCACAGTAAGAAATGTTGCCATAAAAATGGGTAAGAAAAAAACATCTAAAATCATAACAAGGGCTGATTATGGGCTAGCATGATAGTTTTTAGTATTCCTGGGAGCTCCCTGCCCTCCCCAAGGAGAATCTGTTCTCTATAAACAGCTCCTTTCTTTTCTTTAAAGATTTTATTTATTTATTTATTCATGAGAGAGAGAGAGAGAGAGAGAGAGAGAGAGAGAGAGAGAGAGAAGCAGACACAGGCAGAAGGAGAAGCAGGCTCCACGCAGGGAGCCTGACGTGGGACTTGATCCCGGGACCATAGGATCACAATCTGGGCTGAAGGCAGGCGCTAAACCACTGAGCCACCCAGGGATCTCTTAACAGCTCCTTTCTTACAAGAAAGATTGGGAGTCAGCAGGAGACCTGAGAGAGCCCCCCTCCCATTGGGGTGCAAGTTCATGCAATACCTGCAAAGTTTCGAGGAGGGGAACAGGTATACCATCAATGTTCTGGGCCCTGCATGAGTACAAGATGATGGCCAATTGCTATAGGGGACAGGTATAAAACATGCACAGCCCTCAACCCTCCCTGATATGAAGGAATAGCTGGCTGTGGCTGGAGAAAAAGCAGGAAATACTCCCCGATACTCCTCACCCTGGACAGGACACCGAGTGACATGAAGCAAAAGACATTGGTTCCTGGGGGACAGAAATTGTCACACCCCCAATGCCTGTCCAGACTCCAAGAAAAAACTTTTTGTCCTGGTTGGGGGCAAGGAGCTGTAGAAAATCTGATGTCTTCATCCTGCATCAACACTTAGGTCACTGGAGCGGCAAGGGCAGGAAACATTTCAAATCCAGAATCCTACACCTATACAGAGCAGAGTCTGACTTCCACAGGGAGAGGGGGCAGGAAACCCACTTGAGCACTGAATAGGAGGTAGGTTGTCTGCCACTGGGGAGGGACAAGAAGGCTGAGAAAGTCCTTCCCCTGTGAATTGGGCACAGGGCCTGCTAAACCACAGACTGGGGAGGGAAAACCAAGAGCCTCTCCCCAACCCTTACTCTCCACATACACCTCTAACCTTGCACTAGGCAAAAAGCAAGAGCCCTCTACTTGTGGGGGAGGGCAAAGGAGCAACATTCAATATCCACATCCACTGTGATGTGTATAGAGCCTGCTGCCTGCCAGCTGAGGATGGAGCAGAAACACTGAAAAAAACCCTCCAGCATCCTAACCTTACATAAGCATAAGAGAATGGCAGACAACCACTGGAGGATGCTAAATTCATTGTAACTCTAGAAATGAAATGTAAACCCAGCTTGCCTACAAAGGAGACTGAATCCTCCATGCCTGCCTCTACCACCTGCCACGCTAATGGCCTAACAGGGATGAAGTAGGCTCACTTTTGGGGTTAAATAATAGTTATCCCAGTGTCTATGGTTTTATACATTCAATGTCTGGCACTGAATCAAAATTATGGAATACAGGGGATCTCTGGGTGGCTCAACGGTTTAGCACCTGCCTTCGGCCCAGGGCATGATCCTGGAGTCCTGGGATTGAGTCCCACGTTGGGCTCCCTGCATGGAGCTTGCTTCTCCCTCTGCCTGTGTCAGAAGGGAAAAAATAAGAGAAAAAACAGAGATCATTGTCAAAAGATAAAACTATCAACAGAACCAGATCCAAGGATAGACAAAATATCAGACTTTAAGATAACTAAACAGTAAAAGATCTAGTGGAATCTGGTGAGTTATGGTTGCATAACCTTGTAGCAATGTTCATTACTAAGGTATATTGTGCAGAAGGTGGATGATTGTGTTTGTGGAGGCCTGGAGTCTTGAAAAATGGTGTGACAGGAAGATAGAGGGCCACGTGAATTGAAGGGATTTGTGAGAATGATTGGAATAATGAGCCCCAGACTTACAGGGTTATATACTGAATGAGAAGACAAGTAAAAACTACAGTGGAGGCTGAAGGATAGAGAAAAGTAGGTGGGTAGTCTGAGGACAATAGAGCATGCAATGAGCTAGAAAAGTGGGAGGTTTGAGTGGGAGTTTGAACCAGTATCTGTGGATGCCAAGGCTCTTGGTGAAAGTGGGGGACCACAATAAATTGGGAAAAAACAGGCGGGGGTGGGGGGCAAAAAAAAGGAAGAGCAAAGGTGGTGGGTTCACATGGATGACAGGATGGCAGGAGCAGGGCTTAGAAGAGTGGAGAATGAGAATTCTGAGAACAAAATAAAGACAATACCACCGATCTCAGAACTCAAACAGCCAAATTTACTTGAAAAACACTTGCTAGTGTAATTGCTATAAAAGCTCAAATACATCTTACTTTTAGGATCTGTTATCTTGAGAGGAAGAGAGGGAGAGAAGGAAAGGGTGAGGGAGGGAGGAGTGGGGGTCGGGAAAGGATGAGAGAGAGAGAGAGAGAGAGATCTAACTCACAGTAAGGTTTCCTTAGAGAATATCATAATCATAACATAATAGAATTTTCACTTGATTTGCAGTCAGAAAATCCAAATCTGTATGTCATGTTCTTCAATTACAAAGTTGAATAACCACGGAAAAGTAATAATCTTGTGGAGTTTCAACTTTCTCATCTACAGTATACAACAGTGATCAATAGCCATTGTTTTGCCTAAGGATTATCTTGAGATTGTTATAAGATAATGTAAACTATACAAGGATACACAAAAGGAGAGCATTATTAGTCATAGTCATGAAGAAAAACAGCTCATTCTTCAGAGCTTATGGTTCTAGAGATATATACAGTAAGGGATATGTAATATAAAAAATAAATATTAAATTATCCACAGGGGATATCTCTATTAAGGCATAGTACATTTTTTACAATCTGCTTCTTAATACAGGAAATGATAGAGTCTCTTTCACCCATTCATTGAATGGGTGATGGTAAATATTTGGCAACCAGCTCTTAGTGCAGCGAGGAGCCCTTGTTTATAGCATTTGCTTATTTCTGTAGTGTGATTACTCCTACTATAACTGATTTCAGGCTACTAATGCGATGTGACTAACTACAGTGTTGGGGAGCAATGCCAAGTGGTACACCAATGTGCAGTGTTCTCAGATGTAACAGACATACATAAGAACAAAGATGATAGTATAGGAAAATGATAGTAGGAAAATGATTAGGAAGTGGTGAGTTTTGAGTATTTTTATTACTTTTTTAAAAAAGTAATTTAATTTACAGTTTAAAATTTTGATTTTTAATAATGGCCATGTTTGACAGTCAGCACACAAAATTCTTGCAAGCCAGTAGTAACCAGCTCCAATATAACCAGTGTGGAGCCCATACCTTAGTCCTAACAGACATAAAGTTCCAAAAAAATCAAAGGAGAGAAATACCATTTTGTCCATTAAGTGATTACATGACACTCTATCAGCCTAGTCTGAGAGGTGGAGAAACAGTGCCCTAACAATCAGCTGTATATTTATCAAATGTTCACACAGAGCTTTCTTTGTGCCTGACATTCTTTCAGCTGTCTCATAAACATTAACTCACTGATCTTCCTAACAATCCTTTGCCATCAGTGCTATTATTGACCTTATCTGATAAGAGGAAACCCAGGGACCCAGACATTTAAGTAGCTTGCCCATTGCCATACTGCTAATAAATGGTACAGTCACAATTTGAACTCAAGCACTTTGGTGCTACAGCCTATACTTTTTTGCTGTTGTTTAAATATTTTATTTATTCATTCATGAGAGACACACACAGAGAGAGGCAGAGACACAAGCAGAGGGAGAAGCAGGCTCCCTGTGGAGAGCCCAATGTGGGACTCAATGCCAGGACCCCAGGATCAGACCCTGAGCCAAGGCAGACGCTCAACCACTGAACCTTCCAGGCATCCCTACAGCCTATGCTTTTAACCAGTGCTGTGCTGCTTCCACTTCCCTAACTTCTGGGTGCATGGTCAACCACCAAACTTCAAAATGGTAAAAAATACCTTTGTGTCTAGCTTTTTGAACAACCATAATAAGAACAACAACAAAGAAAACAAAACTTCCCTATCTCAATCTCTGCATTACTACCCAGAGAAACGCTCTTTTGAAAGGAACCGAAATAATTTTTAGGCTTGAACACAAAGCAGTCTATTTTAGAGACATTTTATGTTAGATTTACAATTGTACAAGTTAATTCGTAGGTCTGAATCGCAGTACCAATTTTAAAAGAACTACTAGCTAATTTTACTATGAAAAAGGAATCTATTATATGGAGAGATGATTGTAACCTAAAAATAACCAAATAATGCAGTATTTTAAATATAAAAATAATTTCTAAGGAAATAATCTCTTAAAAAACTATATAGATTTCCTGAATTGTGCTTTAAACACTCCTTGAAATTAGACTTGCATAAACTGTAAACAGATATAATTTTAGATTCCTGGCCTGAGTTTTTACCACATGGTTACATACACCATTTAAACAAGCAGACAAAAAAAAAAAAAAAAGCAAATGACATATATAATGTAGAAAGATTTTATGTTTCTATATTTGTATGTCTCAAATTCAGAAGTTTAAGTGGTAACATAATTAGATATAATTTATTTCTAGTTAGAAGTCACTCATTGAGCAAGTTAAAAAGCTGTAACATATTAAATGAACAACATGGTAAAAATATTTGTAGAGGTTATTTGGTGGTTCATAGTCCTCTTTATCTTGTTGTCACCATTCTGGTCAAATATTACTAGTGTCCACTTAATAGGATGGAAGAAGCTAATATTCATTTTCTACGGTTCTCTTTCCAACAGATGCAAAACTCAGTGTTTTTACAGTTGAAAGTCTTTTATTTCCAGTTAAGATCATGGGGTCCAGATACCTGAGAAGCCAGTTTAAGCATTCTTTCTTATACCGTTAACTCTCATCTCATGACCCAGACTGAAGGTGAGAATGCAGGATTCTATTGGCAATTATCTTAGGGATTTATATGCTGGGGGAATGATCTGTTTGTAGGCTTGTTTTGCTCAAAATCAAGGACATAAAATGGACTTCATTCCATGCACTAATATAACTGAGCATAAAACTTGCTGAAGCTATCCTCACTAGAGTGTGAGATCTTTCTCTGTATAATTAGTCTAAAGAGATGATGTATGTGTGTGTAAGCGGAGTGGGTGGGGTTCCTAATTCCTTTTAGTGTATGAAGATAAACAGGATTTCCTTAAAGCACTATTATCAGAGTAATAAACATATTAAGAGGTTAGTGGCTACTGAACATGAATTAATAGACCTACTAGAAGGGGGAAAAATGAATTCCACTTACTTTTTCCTTTTTTTAAAGAGATTTTATTTATTTATTCATGAGAGACACACATACAGAGAGAGAGAGAGAGGCAGAGACACAGGCAGAAGGAGAAGCAGGCCCCATGCAGGAAGCCCGATGCAGGACTTGATCCCAGGACTCCAGGTTCACTCCCTGGGCCCAAGGCGCTAAGCCACCGAGCCACCCAGGCGTCCCCCACTTATTTTTTCTACACCATTCAGGAAAACTGATTTAGTGACTAGAGGTGTAGAGTTACTGTCAAGGAAGCTTGATATTCACTGGTTAAATCTAACGGCAGCATGTTGGGTAGCCCAAAATAGACACCACTATTTGCCTGCAACTAGCAGGTTGCCTGAGAGTAATAGGCAGACAGACTTGATCTAAGAAAACAGGAAGAGCAGTTTGTTAACTTGGTCAAAATGCTTGATTCAACTGACAAGAGGAATTAGTGTACCTCTTAAGGTGATTTCATGAGTACATCAATGGAATGTCATTAGCGTTCTACTACCATAACATATTTATAAAAGTGTCCCATACCAGAATACCAGAATTCTAGAAATTATGTATTTTGGAAGTGAGCTTTCAAGAAAACATATGTTACGGCTGTATATGTTTTCTTGTAAACTTAGCAGCCTAAGACAATACCCACTTCTCAGCTCACAGTCCTGAAGGATGGAAGTCTGGCATGGCATGACTAGGTTCTTTGCTCAGGGTATTAAAACTGAAATCAAGGTGTCAGCTGAGATATGTTTTCATCCCCAGGTTCTGGAGGGAAATTTGCTTCCAAATTCATTTTTTTGTTGGCAGAATTCAGTTCCTTGAAGCTGTAGGACTTAAAGGGCTACTCTCAGCTTAAACATAGCTGGCATTCTTTGCCACGAGACCCCTCCCTCTTCAAGTTGCAATAGCATGTAGCATCTTTTTCAAGCTTTCAATTTAACTTCTCTGTCTTTGATTTCTAGACTCAGATTTAAAGGGCTTGTGTGGATAATCTCCCCGTTTTAAGGTCAACTAATTTATATGCAAAATCTCTTCACAGCAGCACCTAGATTAGTATTTGGTTGAATAACTAGTAGAAATTGTGTATATATACCAGTGGCCAGGAGTTTGGGGGGAGGCACCTTAAAATTCCATCTACCACAATGATCATATTATTTATTTCATATAGTGTCTAAATCAGAAGTGTGAGACTTTTTTTGTTCCCAGGAAATGTCACTGACAAAAATATATCAAAAACCACATACAGGGGATCCCTGGGTAGCTCAGCGGTTTAGCGCCTGCCTTTGGCCCAGGGCGCGATCCTGGAGTCCCAGGATCGAGTCC